GGGGTGGGGGTGGGGGTTGGACTAGATGACCTACAAGGTCCCTTCCAACTCTGTTAATCTGTATCTGTACCACAACTGTTAGCAGAGCTGAGGGGTCCACGTGTTTCATTGGATAGGCAAAAGCTTGGTTGTGGGGACACGGCGGGGATCCTGTACAGGTAGTCCTTGACTTACAACCACAACAGATCCTGAAAATTATCCTAGCTAAGTGAGACATTGATGGAAATGAGTTTCGTCCTATTTTACGACGTTTCTCGCCTTGCTTGTTGACTGAATCCCTGCGGTAACTCAGTAACTCGGACGTTAAGTGAATTTGTTAACACGGTCAAACCAGATGTTTTGACTGGATTTGGCCTTTTTTGTCCACCTGGGACAGCCAGATGTGGAAGTTGGAGGGGGATTTAAATACATCGTTGCAGGATTTCAGCTGTTCCAAGTCAAGCTGCCTTTTTTGCAATTGACCAATGGGGATTTTTTTTTTGTCAATGCCGGCAATGGTTATTATTGTGGTTCCTCACACAGTCAGCCAGATGTTTAGACTGGAGTTGGAATTTTGATCTACCTATCGGCCCTTCCCAAGGATCTAAGACAGGCAGATGTTGGTGTGAGGTGGTGTTGAAAGACCGCAAGATGTAAGTTGTTCCAGGTCAGGGCTGCCTTTTGAAATTGACTGAAGTGGCTGGCGTCAATTCCGATGGTTTATTTGTTTTACTAGAGTCAAAAGCATCACAATTAAAATAGCACACAAGTCGTCCTCGACTTACAGCAGTTTGTTTAGTGACCGTACAAAGTTACAACGGCACTGAAAAAAGTGACTTATGGCCGTTTTTCACACTTATGACGGTTGCAGCATTCCCTACAGTCACGTAATCCAAATTCGGACGGTTGGCAACTGGTTCACATTTATGACCGTTGTGGCGTCCCAGGATCACACTGACAAGCAAAGTCCATGGGGAATCCAGATTCACTTAACAACCAGATTACTCAGTGAACAAATGCAACGATTCACTTAACAACCGTGGCAAAAAATAAGTTGTAAAATGGGGCAGAATCACTTAACAAACATTCCGCTTCGCAACGCAAATTTTGGGCTCAGTTGTGGTCGTGCCTCAAGGATGATGGACCTGTGCTATATGACATAAATTTTTAAAATATAAAATGCAAGGTTAAAATGTGGAAGATTGAATTTGGATCAGTCCCTGAGACCAGGGATCGACACGACTGAGTATTTGGACTCACGATCTTACATCTTTATCCTGGGACACGTATATTTGCCTTCGTTCGTGAGATTAAAATATGTACAAATTAAACAGATCTTGCCCAGAAACTAGCAACGTTAATTTCTTTCTGTCCTGCTACCTCAAATGTACACTGAATGGGACACAAAGGGGGAATTCTGATGGTTGCTATTGTGGTTTGTTGCACAGTCGGCCAGATGTTTAGACTGGATTTAGCCTTTTTGTCCACCTATCGAGTCCTTCCCAAGGACCTGGGATAGCCAGATGTGGACGTTGGATTTCATCCCAGGATGTGAGCTGTTCTGAGTAAAGCTGCCTTTTGCAATTGATTGATAGGGATTTGTCAATGCCGATGGTTATTATTGTGGTTTGTTGCACAGCCAGCCTGATTTGGCCTTTTTGTCCACTTCTTAAGTCCTTCCCAAGAACCTGGAATAGCTAGATGTGGAAGTATAAAGGTCTTATCCCAGGACGTAAGCTGTTCTGAGTAGAGCTGCCTTTTGCAATTGATTGATAGGGATTTGTCAATGCCGATGACCATTATTGTGGTTTGTTGTACAGTTAACCAGTTGGATTTGCCATTTTGTCCACCTCTTAAATCCTTCCCAAGAACTTGGGACAGCCAGATGTTTAATAATATCAAAGGTATTGTTGCAGGATGTCAGCTGTTTCCAGTCAAGCTGCCTTTTGCAATTGACTGAAGGCAATTCTGTCAATGCCAAAGATGCTCAAATGGTCTCTGGTTATTTTCCGATTGCACCCAAGATTCTTATCACGACCAATATTCTCTTTGCATTATGATTATTTAGACGGTACGTGGTTCAGCAGGAAAAAGTAGCTTGGGGTTGTTGTTTTTTAAGTTGCCATGCATTAATACCCATTTTCTCTCCCTCTTTTCAAAACCGCTTTCCATAAAACTTTCTCCCAGGCATTTTTCTAATTTTGTGGTCCGTGGGCTTTTTGCTTACTTGAAAAATGAACTAATATGTTTTAATTTCTTTGGATTCCCCCACCCCCCCAACTACCGTGTTTTTCCGAAAATAAGACCCTGTCTTAATATATATATATATTTGCCACCAAAAAAAAGGCACCAGGTCTTATTTTCAGGGGACGTCATCCACTGACAAACTTCACTTGCGCGCATCACCCCCTGGCCTCCTTTTCATTGTCAGAGGCCTTCAAAAACTTCTTCTGCAGCTGGCAAGGCTTTCCTGAAGGCCTCTGCATCCCATAATAGAGCTCTGGATCGATCCAGAGCTTTGTTCTCAGCTCCAGAGGCCTTCCGGAAAGCCTTTGCCAGCCTTGCCAGCTGCAGAAGAAATGGGTTGGCCAGGCAGGTGTTGGAGGGTGCGAGGCCTGGCTACACCTGTCCAAAGGTAAGTAGTAGGGCAGCTCCACCTGGCCCCCCCCATCCTCACCTTAGCTTAATTTCTACCCGTCCACTCTGGAGTGGGTGGGATCTTAATTAGGTCTTATTTTGTGGGGTAGGTCTTATATTGGGCACATGTGTAAAAAAAAAATCAAGATAGGTCTTCCTTTCGGGGTAGGTTGTATTTTTAGGGAAACGGGGTAGTAACCTCTAATTTTCTAGTTTCTATTTTATTTTCCTTTTAGTCACATGCTAAAAAAGTTTTAAGAATCAGGCAGATCGATTTAAGATCAGAGAAATACTTGTCTAAAAAGGGTATAGGGCAGTGTGTCAACTCATAAAATATTTCTATGGTCTTTTTAGAGTTGCCAACAGTGAGGGAGGGGGGGAGCAGTGCAGCAGCTTGCAAACCGAAACTGCATTCCATAAATGTTTTCAAAGATAGTAACTAGGTGACCGAAGTTTCTGCCTTACCGTGTAAAATTCTAACTGGAGAGCAAGATTGATGACTCTGGGCTAGGGATGTGTCCCATTGGAGAATATGAATTAGGATACACCCAGTGGGTGCAGGAAAACCAGGGTCAAGGGTGACAATGAATGATGTGTCTTAGAGTCGGCTACACCCAGGCAGTGCCGGCATGTTAACTTCCAATAAATCCTTTTTTGAAGTTTTTGAAGTTCTGTTCGAGACTCATGATTTAAATGGGGGTGACTGCTGGAATCCTGACACTTGAGAACTTTTAAGATGGGTGGACTTCAACTCCCAGAATTCCCCAGCCAGCCATACCTGTTTTTTCTCTCTCTCTCTTAATCTCCTAAAGTGGAGGGAAATTGCAGAGGAAGGGATTACAAGAGAGTAAGGCTATGCTGGCTGGGGAGAATTCTGGGAGTTGAATGTCCACCCGTCTTCAAATGGTCAAGGTTCATAAATACTAGTACAGACAATTCTCAGCTTACCACAATTCATTTAGTGACCGTTCAAAGTTACGACGACACTGAAAAAAGTGACTTACGGCCGTGTTTCACACTTAACGACCACTGCCTCTCCATGGTCACGTGATCAAAATCCAAGTGGCTCATATTTATGACAGTCGCAGGCTCCCGAGGTCATGTTGATTCCCCCTTTTGCGACTTCCTGACAAGCAAAATTAAGGGGGAAGCCAAATTCACTTCAGAAAAGGGTCACTAATTGAACGGTGGCAGTGATTCACTTAATAACGGTGGTGCGAAATGGGGCAAAACTCACTTCATAAACATCTTACTTAACGACGGGAATGTTGGGCTCGGTTCTGGTTGCAAGTTGAGGACTACCTGTGTAAGGATTTCCTGCCTGAGCTGGGGTTGGACTAGAAGACCTCTAAGGTCCCTTCCAACTCTGTTATTGTTGAGCCCCCAAGTCTGAGCCGAGATGGATTTTTTTCTCAGGGAGCTACATTGATTTAGAAGCCCTATAAACATAATTTTTAAATAACAACGCTTCGGTTACTCTGTGGTTTTACCTTCCTTCCCCTT